CCGAGTTTCATTTTCTTGTTTCACTAACAGACACAGGGCACATGCCACTACTAATGGCAATGGCTGAGACACAGCCCCAAGTGCTGTGTTCCTCGGTCTCCTTGGTCTAAGCACCACAAGACACATAGAAAACCGTGGCACAGTAGGCCTCATTGAGAAATTTAGTAGCTATCCCCAAGCTGGCAAAGATGAGGAGAAGTCAGACTATCACAATGTCCGTGCTGTCCTGCGATTTTGGTCATAAGGCAAATTGTAGGGATGTGCTGGTTTGAAAGCAAAACCAGTGAGAGACTCCAAGTCAGTAATACAATTTAATAGGAAAAAGGAGAAAAAATAAAATACATGCAATAATACAAAAGAAAAACCACCGACAGAGTCAGAATACAACCTGACACCGTCAGTCAGGGTGTTGGTAGCAGTCTGTATAAATGGTGGCTGCAGTCCTCCTGGATGACGGATGTGGTTCTGTTGAAGCAGTGCTCCTGTAGAAGGTGCAGTTTTCCTCCGAAAGTCCAGCGATGATGTGGAAAAAGGTCCGACTTTCCTCTGGGATCCAGTGGAAAGGGCTGCTTTTGCGTCCCAAACCCCAGTTTTTTTATCTAGGTAGGAAAGGCTTGGCTCCTGCCCCTGGCTGGGGCATCTCCCAATGGGATGATGTAATCTTATCAGTCACACAGTAGGACTTAATGGCCCATTAACGGAATATATCTTCTGGAGGAAGGATGGGTTGTGAAAAGATAACGATGATCATCCCCCCTGATTTTATCAGATGGCACATCAGCAGAGGATATCACCCACAGAGATAAGGATCACCACCCCTCCCATATTTCAACAGATGGTGATAGAATACACATTTGTTGCATTGTACCCCAGGACAAGGGACTTATCGTATGACCATATTTCAGTTGTGGTTCTAATAGTGGTATCTTTGTTTACAGTACTGTTCTTAGACTTCAGCTGCATGAAATGTGCTCCTAAACACGTCTACAACATTATTTTTCTTCAAAAATAATTAAAGCTGCAACTAAGCTTAAAAGAAAGTGATGCCACCAATTCAGATTTCCCCTAAACTCACCTAGCTTTTCTCCTAATGCATATAGGATGCATTACTTACTTTGCTTTGCTTTTGCATGGACTAAGTTCTCTTGCTGCATCAAACCCTTTCACTTCAGAAAGTGCAAGCATTTACCTTCCCACAAAGGGTCAATCTTGTTTTTTACATACCAAACTGAAGACAAGCAATTTCTCAAATAAAACTTTAAAAATACTGTTATGCCTTCATTAGTGTGTCAGAAGTTGTAAAGGCAAGTGATCTGTATGAACAATAATAGAGAGATCATTTCCACTAAGTCTAACTGAGCTTAATGACCATCTAAAATCTGTTCTCATTTCTATGTAGGAGAGTAACTGGTATTTCTGGTTTGGCAGTGCAGACTACATGGCTGATGATGGAACGAGTATGGAAAATGACCACACTGATGCAGCACTTTTCACAAAGTTGAAAAGGTTTTGAGAGTTTATTCTTAGACTTTTTTCATTCTCCCCATCTTTAGTGACAAAAAGAATTAAAGCCTGTCAACTTGTTTGCTATACTGCATATATCCAACACATTATTACCATTGGTCTTCATAAAGGCTATATAAAAAATGTATGCTTCACTTCCCAAAATTCAGTCATCTTTAACTAACTACTCAAAATACATAAACTTCAGATATAAGAAAAGTACCATTTTCCATTGGTCTTGACACTCAAAAACATCCCATGCAAGTTTTACTCATACTTGGCTTAAGCACTTATTTCCTTTTTGCTTGGATACATCTGGCACAGATAAAGACATGGAAACAAAAAGCACAGTGGAGAGCAAGCCTCATCTGCTATCAATATTCCTATGCTCCTGTACTTACACCTGACACATGCAAGCCCCAAAAATTTCCTTCCCCAGGCAAAAAATACATCCGGATAAATGCATCAGTTCACGCTTATAGCAGTTACAGCAATAGAAGAGTGATGAAAAACTGTTTGGGGGAATTAAACTGTGAAAAACCCCAGCCCCAAACAGGTAAAAGTGAATTATTGCAGGGAGTATTGTAGCTGTATGGCAATCAGTGCTGTCAGCCACGTTTGGCTTTGCACTCTCAACAGCAACTCTAAATCCCACGTACGTTTCTCCTCTCCTAGCGCTGCGCGTACCTGTGACCTGTGCCGAACGGGGCAGCTTGTTTACCTTGTGCCGTGAGAGTTAACGGACTGAAACAATTTCATTAGTTTTACCATTTCTTACGCTTTTAATTAACTACTGCCGGCTGCGAGCATTTAAAACAACAAGGGACAAACAAAAGCCTCGAGACTGGTCAAGAAGCTGCAAGTTTTCCCTTTCCTTCCGCCTGGTTTGCGGCGCTGCGGTCACGCCGGGGACCCTCCGGAGGACCGAAGGTTGCTCCCAGAGAAGAGTCCCGTGGCCCCTGCCAGGAGGAAATGCTTCCTCGCTCGCCTCGGACGGCGGACCGGCCGGAATGACAATGCCCGGCGGGACGCGCAGTCTCCCACCGGCTCGCCCAGCATAGACTACACTTCCCGTGAGGCCACGCGGCAGAGCGCGGGCCGCGGTGTGCGTCAGCGGCGCGAGCAGCCAATCGCGGCGCGGCCGGGGCGAGCGCCATCCGCCGCCAATCTTGTTTTCGCTGAGTCGAGGCGCTGGTGTTGTTGGCGGCGGCGCCATATTGGAAGGGACGAGCGCCTGCTCTCGAGCAGCCCCTGGGCGCGGGCCCGGCCGCCGCCATGCTGTACCTGGAGGACTATCTGGAGAGTGAGTGTGTGCGCGGCGGGGGCGCCGGGCGGCCGGACACGGCCGGTGCGGGGGAACTGGTGGAAGCCGCGGCGAGGAGGCTGCGCCCCCCTCCCCCACGGCAGCGAGTGACTGACTGGCTCCCCCACTTCCTCCCCCCTCTCTCCCGCTCCCCCGTGTCCCCGCAGTGATCGAGCAGCTTCCCATGGATCTGCGCGACAGGTTCACCGAGATGCGCGAGATGGACCTGCAGGTGCAGAGTACGTGAGTTCCGCCCCCTCCGCCTCCGCCCGCCCCCTCCGCGCCCGCCCCGCTCCGCCCCGCCCCGCTCCGCCCCGCGGGCACCGGCCCCACAGCCGCGCCCCGCCGCAGAGCGGGATGGGCGGGAAAGCCGAGCAGAGAACGAAGGAAGGAGGGAGACGAAGCGGCGCCGCCCCGGCCCGCGGCAGCACCTCCGCCCGCTCTCCCCGCGCTGCCCCGGGGCGGTCGCGCCCCATCGCCAGCCCTGCCCCGGCTCTCCAGCACCGCCGCTCTGCCCTGGGGCCGTCTCGTCATCTCCCGCGGGCGAAGGCTCCGCGGAGCCGCCTCGATGAGGCTAGGGGCGGGGCGCACGCCCCCGGCGCTCGCGCTGCAGCCCCCGCCCCAAGCTGCCCTCCCCCCCCTCCGCCGCGCCTCGGCGCAAGGAGGGCCTTGGAGGAGCTACATTCTTGGGCTTGTGCTGCTCCCAAGGGCGTTTTCGGTGGCACGTCCCAAACTCTTTAGATTTTTGATCCCTAAGAGCAGTGATGGTGGTTTGGAACATGAGTTATGTCCCACTCCTTCCAGTAGGCAGCGACACGCTCTCCCTGAAACTTTCCAGCCAGCTCCCTAATAACAGTATATGTGAAGGTGCTATTTGCCCTAGCTGACAGGCAACCAAATTTACTTCTAAATATACTTTCGGTTTTATGCAAATTATATTTTACATAAATATCTACTTTTGTGGAAATATATATATTATATAAAGTAAATTTATAAATACACTTCCGTGTACTTCTTTGTAGATCACTTTGTATCTCCTTTTATCCTGATGTAATACACTGCCTTATGCTGTTTTCAGGATGCATTGCCATTTCATCTTTTCTAATGCAATCTCGTCTGGGACTTAGGTGTCCTGTAACACCCTGGGTAGCTCCTGCAGTCATTTAACACACAATTAATATGGTTATCTATAACTATGATCCAGAAGTATTCATTAATGAAACTGCTACTGCACAAAAGATGAGAGCAGTCATTAATATGGAAGGGCCAGGCTGTTGTAAGAGGGAATGAGAGAAAAAGCAGAGATTGAAATAACAAGGGACTATTGTATAGGAATACAAAATGTGGCACTAAGTGGGAACAGTTCTTTAATACTTTGAAGTGGTTTCGGTTGGATATTTACTTTAGTGAGCCCAGCAGGTCTGTTTATCAGGTGTTACTGACACATGTAGGACTGTCTATAGGATTTTTTTGTATATTATGACCTAAAGGTTGTCTTGGGTTCAGTGCTTATAGTTGTGGGAACTGTCATGGCTCTTTCTGGGAGATAACACCTCTGAAGTTGCTATCACCAGGGAGCATCATGAGAGGGAGTGAGCAGCTCCCTGACTTGGATAGTTTGGAGTAAGTTCATAAATTTTACTTCTGTTCCATAAGAAGGCAAAGAAGATAGTAGTGTTTTTTTTAGGCGTGTTTGAGAACTGAGGCAGCTAGCAATGCCAAGACAGCAGATTGTCATTTCCTCTTCTTTAACTGAAAATGATAAATAACACTCCATGTTGTATTACTGGAAGTAGTAAATGACAGTGAGTATTGTATACTAGGACCCTAGTATATACCCTACCCTAGGTGCATAGAAAAATTTTCTCAGACCTTGGTACGTCTGTAATTCTTATCCAATGATTGGCAGGGTATCCAAAGACATATATGAAACTTCTGGACTAGCACCTCTTCAGCATCACTTGCCCAACTGGCTGATGAGTGCTACATGCAAACCTGGAAGTTGTTTGGTGTCACAGAAGTACTTGAAAACAGTACTTTGATGAGTGATACTGTCCCAGAAATCTACATGATTTGTAATTTAGATATCTCTGCAGCTCTGCTTTAATGTCATTGTTGACTTTGTATTCAGTTCTGTTTAGACCACAATAACTCCTAATGAGGCAGGTTCTGTAGTTGGAAGAAATAATTCTGTAGTTGGAAGAAATAATAAACCGAGTCTATCTGCTATATATTCTGATAAGATTGCTGCGGAAAAAGCAAAGATCATCTGAGTCGGGACTTGACTCTTGGGTTTTAACTGAGCTGCACATGAAGCATAAAATGTGTTTTTCTGTTTAAGTTAAAAATCATGGATTATCAGGTTTTCATGGTAAGATGTCAACATCTGGAAAAAAGACTGTTCTCATAGAAGTTTTGACAACTCTCTTAGGAAAATTTATCTAAGAAATTGGTATCTCAGAATATAGTATCATGAGAAAAAACGACTGAACTTGAGTATAGCAGAGAACTTATATAACTGGATAGATCTGATCTGCACTTGCCTTTGCCTTTTCTGCTCTTTCAGAAGAGACCAAGTTTATGGAAATTTCCCCTAGGCAGTTTCACACAGACTGGTAACATGTCAATAAAAAGTGAAGAGGGAAGATACTTTTTATAATTTTTTTCTTTATGAAACCACTAAAATAACTAACACTTAAGGTGTTTGTGCTGACAGGATAGAACATTTTGTCTCTTGTTTTTTTGGTCCAAATTAGAGTCATTTGGTCAAAGAACAAAGATTTTAGAAGCCTCTATATAAAGTGTGTGTTTCTTGCTTGCCTCTCAGGCTTCTTAATCTTCTCTATATGGTGCAAGTGGAAAATGCTCATTGTTCAGGTTATCCCACTTTAGCCTGTTTTACTCCTAAACCGTTTGACTACTTTGTTTGTGTGGGTCTAAATAAAGTTGATGTGAACTTAGGTCACAGCTGTTATGGCTTGGGATTAATGGTGCTCTGTCCTGTCAATTGTTAGGTTCCTGTTGGGTTTGATGTTGAAAGTTCCCAGCATAAGGAAGACTGATTAAGATTTTTGATTGTTTAGTAGGAATGATTTTTGGTTATTTATGTAAACAGTTGGTTCTAGCTGTGGAGTTGAGAAGACCCTTGGCCTCTTGGATTTTAAGAGTAAATCATACTTAGGGATTCATGAGCTTCTTGAACTAATTAGTTAATTTGTATTTTGTTTTGGCAAGATATGATCCAGTTTTAATGGTGGTTTCTGGAAAGTTTCTTAGGTGTTTTGTACCCAGAGCCTGAAGTTTGTGGGTGATTCATACATTGTCACATTTAATTTAAAACTGATAGCTGGACAATGTCACTGAGGATGCTGGGGAAGAAAAACCTCAATACTGTCATCTATCCTGACACTAGCAAGGCTGTCCAAGCTAGTTTGACTGAGGCAGCTGCATGTTTTTAGAAATGTGCAAGCTGCTGAGTGCACAAGTGTCCAGCTGTTGAAATAGTAAACTCAGTGGGAGAAGGGTGGAGGGGAGAAAGGGAAGGGAATCCCTGTTCCTGTCTCAATAAACAATGAAAAAAATAACTTGTGGTTGACATTTTCCTTTCTAGAGATAGTTAATGTTAGAAAATGGGTGGTTGTATTTTTGCCCCCTTATGATCTTTCTCAACCTCATGGAAGTAAGAATCCTGTCAAAATAATACTTCATCAGTGGATTTACTTCTCTGAGGGTGGAGGGAATAATTTGTAAACGCTTTCAATTTACCCTGACCCTTCCTAGCAAACTATGGAGAGGCCCTGGGCTTAAAGGCAGTGACTTTGCTCTTCGATTGGTCTACCTTTTTGAGACACTAATTTTATTTCAACTATTTGGTTTTGTATTTGACTGTTTCTCTTAGGAGAACATTTTGTTTCCTGCTCAGTTTGTAACTGGCTAGAATGTTCCAAAGTCAGCAGTCTAGAGCCCTGGGTGAGGAGTTTGGGTCGTGCTTTAAGTCACTACCACTGCTCTTAGGGACAAAAAACCTTTAGAACTTGGAGTACTGCCTGTCCCATGCTGGAGAGCACGAGAACCTTGATGAGAATCCTACCAGAATGCAATTCTGCTTCTTGGAAATTAAGGTAAATATTTCCCTCCGCTGTCCACTGTTGCTTAGTTGTTTGGTTTTTTTCTTTTTTTTCCTCTCTAATAGTTTGCACCTCAGTCCTGTCAACTTTGTTTGAGAAAAAAATTTCCCCTTATTTTCTAATGTTTATGTACATGAGAAGATAACATTTGTCTCAATCTTTTCCTATGCTACAGATGCAATGGATCAACTTGAGCAGAGGGTAAATGAATTTTTTATGAATGCAAAGAAAAACAAACCTGAATGGAGAGAAGAACAAATGACATCAATCAAAAAAGTAAGGTTATCACAAGAGTGGGTCAGATTTTCCTTTTGCAAACTAAGACAATCTTAGGAAAAAATAGTTTGTGATTAATGTGAGATTTAAGTGCTCAGAACTGTGCCTTCCTTTGGGCTTTCATAGAGGTGGATGGAACTACCTTGGAGGAGAAAAGTGAGTGAAAGTTTTCTTTGATCAAGAATTTCTTTCAAGTTTTACTGAGCACTTCTTAGCATTTAAAAAAATGTAATCCTGAATTGGTGAGGAAGCCTGGTACTAAATTTTGAACTCAGATTTTTTTGTTTCGGTTTGTGTGACATGAAGTTGCCCAAGTTAATTTGCCTTCTTTTAGAGAATATTTTTCAAGCTTAGATTCAGCATTTCCTGTGATTTTCAATCTGTGTTCTTCTACACGTTATGCATATGATCTATGTAGCTTGAGAGAGGGAGGAGTAAGAAAATGAATATGGATGTGTTCTGTGTTATCCCTCAGTACCTGAGCATTGGCGGTGTTATTGTTAGCAATGTAGTCCATCAGGACATCCATTCTCCGTCAGGAGAAATGCCTTTGTAGTCTCTTACAGTGGCTTCTTCAGCCTCTAATTTGGGTAAGAGTTGTTTTCTTTAATTAATGCAAATAGATTTTTAAATTCTAAAAAAGAAAAAGGTCAGAGCTCTGACTTCACTAGAATAAATGAAAAATTTGCTTTTGACTTCAGTTGAATCAAAATTTCAAGTAGTTTTCACATAAGATACTATTCAGTGGAAGCTGAGAATTAAAAGGCAGTAAATCTGTTGAAATGTAAAGTAAAAGCATTTGAAAATACACCTTTTTAAAAAAAAAGGTTTATCTGTGAATTTTCATTGCTTAGAGGAGACTTTTGAATTGTTTTAGTCAAATTATTTAGAATGCACTTATGAAGAGAAGCTTATTTTAAAGTATTTTAAATTATATACAGTATTATCTTAGTTTAACTAGAGTGCTGGAAAGGCCTCCCCACAGAGTACTTCAGCATCATTTTGAAGAGTAGTAGGATTTGTGGTGGTCCTGAAGTAAAAGACACAATCTTATTTTAAGTCCATAACATGATGCTGTGTAATATAAAATAAATCCAAGATTGTTTCATTTCCTGTAGTATTTCTTGCAGAAATATAGATGTCACTATAGTTGGAAGTGTCCCCATCTTGTAATTTGTTTTTTTCTAACACAGAGAAAATAAATTTATGTATATTATATCTCATTTAAGATTCAGATGATGGTTATTTACAGTAAAACTTCACAGTCTTTCTGAAAACTGACTTTAATTTGTCCTTTTGACTTATATTTTGTGCTTTACTGAAATTAGTTCAGTTACATTCATAATTAAAAAGAAAATTATTTTCATAACAGGATTATTATAAGGCTTTGGAAGATGCAGATGAAAAAGTGCAACTGGCGAATCAAATATATGATCTGGTAAGTGGGCACAAGACTTGTAGTGAAGTATCTAAGTGTATACCCTAGGAAGTTCTAAGTATTTTAATAAGCACTGCCTGTACTTTTATTTCATCTACATACAGATGCTTTGCTGGTGAAAGAAACATTTAATATTTTATTGAGTTATAAGAATTTGGGGGTTTTGGGTAGTAAGTGTCACTTAAATATAAAACAGAAATAGTATTAAAAATCATAAGGTTTTAATGCATGGCTTTGGCCTGTTTAGGAGACTAGTTGAGAGAATCCCTTGGGATGCAGTGTTGAGGAGTCCAGGAAGGCTGGACATTCTTCAAGAAGGAAATCTTAAATGTATAGGAGCAGCCCATCCCCATGTGCCAAAAGAGAAGCCAGCAGGGAAGAAGACCGGCCTGGCTAAATACAGAGCTTTGTCTTCAATCTGGGGAAAAAAAGAGTGTATCACCTTGGGAAGAACAGGCAGGCAACTTGATAGGGCTACATGGATTTTATGAGGTTGTGTGGGGCCATAATTAGAAGGGCCAAAGCCCAAGTAGAACTTTATCTGGTTACTGCTATGAAAGAGAAAACTATTTTAAAAATATATCAGCAATAAAAGAAGGGCTGTGGAAAATCTTCATCCTTTACTGGATATGGAGGTAAACATCATGGTGGAGGATGAAGAAAAGGCAGAGGTACTTCATTGCCACAATATTTAATGACAAGACCAGTTGTTTTCAGGATATTCAGCCCCTTGAGCTGGAAGAAGTGGGTAGGGAGCAGAATGAAGTTCCTGTAATTCAAGGGAGGTCAGCAATCTGCTATGCCACTTAGATACACACAAGTCTAGGGCTGTGATGGGATCCACCCCACAGCACTGGGAGAGATGGTGGAAGAGGTCACTTAGGCACTTTTGGGTGTTTACCAGAGGTCACAGTTGACTGGAAATTACCAACTATAATGCCCATGTACAAGAAGGGTCAGAAAGAGCATCTAGGGAAGTAAGGGCCTGTCAGTCTGACTTCAGTCCTGGGGAGTGTCATAGCACAGCACAAGCAGGACAACCAGGGGATCAGACCCAGGCAGCATGGGTTTAGAAAAGGCAGGTCTTGCTTGACTGACCTGATCTTCAACGATGAAGTGACCTGCTTAGTATGTGAGGGAAAAGCTGTGGATGTTGCTTACCTGGACTTCAGTAAAGCCTTTGACACTGTTTCCTACAGCACACTCCTGGAGAAACTGGTTGCTTATTCCTTGGGCAGGTGCACTATTCATTGGGTTAAAAATTGGATGGATGGCCAGACCCAGAGAGGAGTGGCATGTGATTTAAAGTATAAAGTTTATTTATTTTGCATTTCTCAAGAGAACAGAACCTGCAAGTCAGACTACGCTCAAATATAGAAGATACAAAACAACTGCTTTAGTTTCACTACAACTAGCCAAAAGTTTGTTCTAGAAATTGGAACTTCTCTTTTGCTTAGCTGGTAACTGGAAAAACCTCCCAGTTTTCAATAAAGACGGGTAAATTTTGCTGTATGATTACAGATGTAGAAAGCATTTGGAATGTAGTGTTTCTTTTCATGATAGTGAGTTGAGAATTTTTTTGGTTGATTTTTAATAGCCAAGAGCACGTCATAGTTTGCTGAAACACACAGAAGTCTCCACTTTCAGTTAAGACTCAGTACACACCGAATTTACTGGTGTTTATAGTGACACACAAATGGCACACAGGTTTCAGTTCAGAGCTTGCAATTCCCCCAAAGCAGCCCAATTTCTACTAAAGTCCATGTCATGTACTGTTCTCTCTCTTCCCCTTTGTGTTTGCATAACCAGGGCACCTCCAAGTCTTCTTCATCTTTATTTCTGAAAAGAAGTGCCTTGGAGCTCTGCCTATGCTATTTTGGTGTTAACAGCATTGTCTTTGCTGAGTGAGGGAAGTGGAGGTGACCAAAAAGATCGCTTCTGTGCATTATTGTGCTTAGTCCTATGTGGCACAGAATTGCTGGAAGGGAAATACTTAGCAAGCCTGAGATTGAGGACGTAAATATTCATGTTCCAGAAGTAGATGCTATTTATTTTTGCTTCGTCTAACAAACAGGTAGACCGTCATTTGAGAAAATTGGACCAGGAACTCGCTAAATTTAAAATGGAACTTGAAGCAGATAATGCTGGAATTACAGAAATACTAGAGAGACGTAAGTATGCATGATTTTAAGAACATGACAGACTTTCTGTCAATTTGCAAAATTAAAGTATTATACACTTGTTAGTGGCTGCCAGTATTTTCACCTGTGTTTTAACCCACTTTTCATCAGTGATTCTCAGATTTTAGTCTCAACCTCAGTTTATACCAGTGGAATCAAAATACTGATTAATGAGCTGAGTAATAGAATAATTTTTGCATACAACTGTTGTCCTTGTGAATTGCTACAGTAAAATACATAATTCTTTAAACCTGTTTTTAATGACTGTAGATATTAAGCCAAGTGCTTTGGTCTAAGCATACCAGTTGCAAGGGTACCAATTCTTCCTTGAAGTGATTGCCACCAAAGTAAGGAGGGTCATTATTTTAGTTTTCCATGTACTCGGTGGTTTTCATTTTTTAAAGGGACGAGAATGGGTTGTTCTGTAATGGGCCAGTGAAGGAAAAGCATTTTATGTAAGAAACCTGCATGTTAAATACAACCATACTTGTATTCAGAATGTAAATAAAAATGTAAAGTTACAGCTTTTTTGCCAGCTTGATGTAGAAGAATCTGGCTTACCAGCATTTAGACATCAAATTCAAATGTGATTGTGATAAATTTACAAGTTGATTTAACTGCAGTGATTATGGAGGCAGTGGCTATCCTCATAGCCAAAGATAGTGAAAATTAACTTAAGTCACTTGGGGATATTAGGAATAAGTATTCTTTCTTGGAACTTTTTGTGGCTATGTTATATAAGCTGGGAGTTTGGGGCTATTTTATTTGTAATTGCTGTTACAAATAACAGGCACAAAAAAGGAAACTCTAAATGCTATTAATTGACTCACAGTTACAGAAAAGGACTAGTTTATTTTAGTTTAAATCCCAGATGGTTTTAGGATGTGATGCTACCTTCTGTTGAACCATGTGTTTGGAGAGGTTGCTAGATAAGATTTCAATAATTCAAAATAGAGAAGTACTCGACTGCATGTTGCATCTTTAAGGTTTGTTTGGTTTGAGGGTTCTGTTTCCTTTTTTGTTTTTAAATAAAGCTAAAAGTAGGATACTCTTAATATTTTTAGCTTTCAGAATAAATACATAAGGTTGAAGTCCCGCCAGAGGGCAGCCTTTGGGCAAGTTCATACCATGACTGAAGTTCATTCAGCCAAAATAGCTCCTTATGTTTTGATCCTCTTCTAGAATAATTGTCTTTAAATTTTTGTAATACTTACGTATTACTCATATATTCATGTATGTCAGTGCTTTCTGAAAGCACTAGAAGAGGTAAAGAAATGCTGAAGCTACAGATTTTGAAAACTGAATGCGAATTGCTTTCTTGTTTTGTCTTCTGTGAAAATGTAAGTTGGTAGGTATTGCAACTACTTAAAAATATTTTGTTAGAAATTGACACACAAAATACTGTATGTTGTTCTAAATTTATAGTCAAAGTCTCTCCTGTGCTGTGATTATTTAGCCTCATCTTACAAGAAATTTTATTCTTAGACATAGACTTTGATTTATGCCCATCTGACTTTTTCCCTTTTTCAGTGGAGGATAGGGGTGGGGGTTGTTATTGTTGTTTTGTTGGTTTTGTGGAGTTTTTGTTTGGATTTGGGTTTTTTTGTATTGTTGTTCTGTGTCTTTTGATTGTTAAGAAAATCTGGATGATGATTTGCAGCCCTTTCTTTTGGATGTTAAATCATCTTGAAAGATGAAACTGCTGTTTCTTGAGTTTTGACTGAATGTGATGAGGTGTACACAAGGTGTCCCTCAGTGGGACTGGAGGCTGTATTTTTACAATTTACATTGTTCAGTCTTCATTTCATATTGGTGTAGATTGTCAGTACTTTTGGTGCAGCTATTCTGCAACTCATTTCAGTAAGTGGCATGTTGAGGGCAATGTTGTTGGTTCTTATTTGCCTTAATTTTAAGTTCTTGATTTCAACAGTTGGGCAGTAGCAGTCACCAATTTTTTTTTATTTGAGAACTAGTCTCACTGGCTCCTGGTTGTATTGTAGAAAGGGTTTTCAACTCTAGCAAAAGTTTTTTCCGATTAAAATAAATATAACTGCATTGTGATTTGGTCAATATTTTAAATATTCTTTTAGTATGTAAAAGTTAAAACAGTGCCAACTCTCAATTTTCGTGTCCTTCTTACCTCCCTCTTAGGGTCTCTGGAGCTGGATACGCCAGCACAGCCTGTGAATAACCATCACTCCCATTCTCACACTCCAGTAGAAAGTAAGTATTTGAAACTTATAAAGATGGCCACTTTTTATGTTTCCTTTGGGTTTTTTTGTTGAGTAGTACCAGGAAAAAGATGGTTCAGAACTTTTTTCCCTCCATCATTGCAGAGAGAAAACAAAACATAATAAATGCTAATAATGTCTTTGAAGAAGTGCAAGAATGAAATAGGCTTTACTGGTGGGAATTAGTTGAAAGGGCTAGCATAATTTGACTTTCAAGCTGAATAGATTTTACACTTAAGTTCCCTTCATTTATTTCATTTAGAAAGGAAACAAAATCCGTCTTCTCACCATAGTACAACAGATCATGTTCCTGAAAAGAAGTTTAAATCTGAAGCTCTTCTATCTACCCTGACTTCAGATGCTTCTAAAGAAAATACACCAGGTAATCCTAATTGTCTTTCATTTCATTGCTTTTTAATAATAGGAAGAGAAACTTAATTATATTTGTGAGTTAATCTTCTGAAATCACAGAATCATCGAATAGGTAAGGGTGGAATGGACCTCAGTGGGTCATCTGGTGCAGCCTCCCTGCTCAAGCAGGGTAATCCTAAAGCACCTTGCAAAGGATTGTGTACAGACAGTTCTTGAATATCTCCAGTGAGGGAGACTCCACAGCCTCTGAGCAACCTGTTCCTATGCTACCTGTCCTGTGTGTGGCCACCTGCACAGTAAAGAAGTTCTTCCATATATTCAGTTGGAGCTTCTTGTGCATCAGGTTCTGCCCGTTGCCCTTTGTCCTATTGCTCAGCGCCACTGAGCAGAGCCTGGTTCCATCCCATTGACACTCTTCCTTCAGATGCTCGTAGACAATGATTCGTCTCTTCTCAAGGCTGAACAGGCTCAGCTCCCTCAGCCTTTCATCATAAGTGAGGTGCTCCAGTACCTTAATCATCTTTTTTTCACTCCACTGAACCTATTCCAAGAGCTCCACGTCTCTTGTACTGAGGAGCCCAGAACTGGGCACAGCACTCCAGACGCAGCTTTGCTAGGGCTGAGTAGAGGGTCAGGATCACCTGCCTCAACCTGCTGGCAATGCTCTTTCTAATGCTCCCCAGGACACCATTGGTCTTCTTAGCCCCCAGCTGGTGCTGTTGCATGGGATTATTCCTGTCCAGGTGCACTGCACTTCCCTTTGTGGGACTTTTAGACCATGTGCCATGAATAATGCCTTTCTGGGGTCTGCCATTCAGCTAGTCCTCAATCAGAGGCTGATATCCCTTTCCCTGGGATTTTCAGTCACTTGAAACATGAGAAATTGCAGGCATTCTTATTCATCTGTGTTGTCCATGAAGCGTGTCTGCTTTGTTGTCATTTCACAGCTGTATGCTGGCTGTTTCTTTTTATTTACACTTTGAGGAAGATAACAGTACAGTTTTGTTCAGCTAGTAGTAGAAATACAAGAGATCAATGCATTATTTTCAGAAAAAAATGTATACAAGAATTTCCAAAGTAAGGGAGAAGAATTTTCACACCTTTTTTTGAGGGTTGGTCTGAAAATAAATTTTTTTATGTGTCATGTATGTCAAAGGAGAAGTCTTTTTGAATAGTGACTAAAAAAACCTAAACTTTTCTGCCTATTCTCAATATTAAGGTGTTTCATAGTTTCTTTTCTGAAAATAAAAGACTAAGGAGTTAGAGTAAGTCAGCTACCTTGTTTTGGAGTTCAGTAATGTTTGTCAGTTTTAAGTAGTTTCAGTCATGTCTATTTAAATTTTCTTTTGAAGAAACTTCCCATGAGCCTGCAAATAAAATGTAGCTATATTTGAGCAGCTGTCATTCTGCAGATGACCCTAGAAATTGTGTTGCATTAAAACTGATCTGTAGTTTTTAGAATTAAGACTGTTGAAAGTTTTATCTCAGAAATAGTATAGGTATGTAATCATTCTTACCCTGTTCTCGATGATTATAGTAGAAAATAGAGAGAAATTACATGGAGAATTGTTTCAATATAGGCATAGGTATAGCAGCTGCATTTGTTCTTCAATAGCTGAGTATCATAGTGAGAGCTGTCTTTCTAAAAGGACTCCTTGCATATGAGGATAGATAGGGAACAAACTTATTTTTTTTCCTCCATAAACAAATACTGTCTGTGTCTAATTACTTTTAAAACATTTTTTCCAAATTATTAGACTATTCTGATGTGTAAACGGAGTTCCTACTCTTTCACTGGTTGTCATATAACTCTTCTTAAAATGCAAAGGAATTTAGTTTCATTTTGAATTTCATAAATGTGTTCTATTCATCAAGGGTGTCGAAACAGTAATTCATCATCCTCTTCAAACAATGCATACAATACAAACTCTTCTCAACCATTGGCATCATATAACCTGGGCTCATTATCTTCAGGATCCGGGGCCGGTGCAATTACCATGGCAGCAGCTCAAGCAGTGCAAGCCACGGCACAGGTAATGTCAAAATGTTCTTGTCATTCTGCCATCCTCTTAAGATTAAGAAGAAAGACTAGTGACTGGGTTTTTTTTGTTTTTTTGGTTTTTTTTATCTGAATTCCCATGATCACTTTCAGCTGATGTGATTCGGTTCTTATATTAGAATTTTATTAGTATGCGACAATTTCATCCTGTATAACTTGCCTAAAGGGACAGCTTGTTTTCTGACTTTTCCTAGAAGATATTCTCACACATTTAACTGCCTTCTGTACATAATTTCATTAACAAGGTAACGAATGAACCTGTGCATATCATTAGCAGTTAGCAGCCTTATGTAAGAGCTTTACTGTGTAATCTGATACAATATCAGTATTCCTTTCAGATGAAGGAGGGAAGACGAACATCCAGTCTAAAAGCCAGCTATGAAGCATTTAAGAACAATGATTTTCAGCTTGGAAGAGAATTTTCATTGTCCAGAGATTCAGCTGGATATTCATCATCAGCTTTGGCATCTACATTAACTCAGGCATTAAGTTCATCAACCTCAGATTCACGAAGTGGCAGAAAAAGCAAGTAGGTTTGCTTACTTGTTGACTGCAACTATAACTTTTAAGACAGCTGAGATTTCTTTCAAAAGGTCATGGGCTATATTAGAAAAGCATTGTATTTTATGTCTGTGGAGGGGAATCAGCAGAATGTAGTTACTGCCTATTGGCCATTTTTTGTTCACGGCTGTGTTCTTTAGTCTCACTTCTTTTTCTTTAAGCAAACTCACTCCATTTACTTGCTTTTTTATCTGAGAGACAATCAAGTGTTTTCCCTCACTTTTCTGTGTTTTGGAGAAGTTGGATCTAACAGCAAATGTTGGGAATTACTGTGCAATGGTTTGTAGATGGTTTTGAAATAATTTAGAGATCTGTTTGATGCCAATTGCAAGTAAACATGACACTTTCTAATGACTGACTATCTAGAACAGGGAATGAATTTTATTTCTGATTTAAATGAAGTTTTAAAACATTTTTAACAATACAATGTCACGACACATTCAACAGTCAGAACTTGAAAGAATTTGTCTCAAAATGCCCATCCTTTTAAATTGACTTGAGTTTTTTCCTTCATTCAAATTTGTGTGTGTTCACAACTCAGTTAATAATGCTGTTTTAGAAGCATTTTTCATCTATGAATATCTTGGGTGTCAGGTCTGACCTATAAGCAAATGCAAAGAAATTTTATTCTGGCACCATTCCTATGGAGTGATTGCTGATGCTTGAGTGGAGATTAACAGAGAATCGGTCGTTTTCTAAACAGTTATTGTACAAGACATATGACATTATTTATATGGAAATTCCTGTTCTGTTGGTAACAGTTTTTATAAGGACTTGACACCAAGGCTGTTGATGGAAAACTTTGTAAAGAAAAGCATTTGTTAAAGCCACTTGACAGCTTAGAGCTGTTAAATTCCATTGATTAGAGCAGCGGGTCTTGCACTTGTAAGCTGGTATGACTTGTTTCCTTTTCCAAGAGCCTTCAGTGGGTGCATTCCAGTGCTTGCAGTAGTTGAATGAAATGATAGCTTTGGGATTTACATACTGCAGTATTTCAACCAAGTCAACCAAGTACTTGTTTAGTGATTCTTTCACTTGGCAGAAAATAAATTATGTATGCTATTTTTTTCCTTTTTTTACTCTTCCTCAGAAACAACAACAAATCATCAAGTCAGCAGTCCTCCTCATCATCTTCTTCTTCCTCTCTATCTTCATGTTCTTCTTCATCTGCACTGGCACAAGAACTGTCTCAGCAAACAGCAGTAATACCAGAGTCTGATTCTAATAGCCAGGTTGATTGGACCTATGATCCAAATGAGCCACGTTACTGTATTTGTAATCAGGTAAGGATGGCCCCCAAATTGAAATACAACTACAGCTGCTGATGTAGCTGAACTTCCTTCTCTGAATGCTAATTTTGAAAAAACTGTACTTTTACTCTTGAACTTCTGATCTTTTTTTATTTAACTTACTGGTGATGTGAATAATGAACTATTGAAGCTAAAAATAGTCAATTTTTTTAGTGATGTGATATCCTTGGAGAGTTTTAAATCTGGTAATGGGACTTCAGGAATAATTAAATTAAAAATGTAGGGGATTCACTGTGAATTTAGTTCTTTATCCAATCTGGAATATGCAGATGTATCTTCTTTTGCATAAACAGTTTTTGAAAATCAATTCACTATGAACATGATGGTGTTTGGGTTGGGTAAAAAAGTAAAATGAAAATATTGTTACTGCTGTTAATGGAAAAACTTCTCAAAGGAAGAAATTTGAATGTTGGCCCTTACAAAATGTTAATTGCTAAGGGTTTTTTTTCTTATTTTACTAGGTGTCCTATGGTGAAATGGTAGGCTGTGATAACCAAGATGTAAGTAACAAAGTTCAAAAGGTTCATGAGAGGCTTGTGCATATAACTATTGCTTTTACGAGTTGCTATTTTTTTAGAGTTTCTTCTTGAGTAGAGTTTTTGAGTAAAGTGCCTATTATTTGAACCATCCTTCAGGAAACTTCTCTCCAAACACAACTCAGGGTCTTTTAGAAACCTTCAGCCTTTGCTAGGTTCAAAAATGCCCTGCTTCAAAATATTCTTGATTTCTGTGAATTTACAGCTATTTCACTATTTACAAGAGCTGTCCCTTTCAAAGGAAAAGTTTTCAAAGAACAATTGAATAGAATAATGTATTTACTGACATTGCTATATTTAAACAGAAGTGAGTGATGAGATTACTTTGTCAAACTAAGCATTTCAAAGCACATCATAGTTATTTTGCTCTGTAATGTGAGTCCATCTATGACTCCTAGAATTTGTATCATTTTTCTTAGTGTGCTGAGTGTATGTTGCAGATCCTCCCCTCTCCTTGTTTTGTCCTGTGACTTGAGTGAAATGCAGAATCTATGCATTCCACTCTTGTTTCATTTTCATAGAATTGTAGTTTTGATAGGCATTTTGAAAAAAAAACCCAAATCCAAAACACTCTTTTAACTCTTTTTATAGTGTCCTATTGAGTGGTTCCACTATGGATGTGTTGGACTGACAGAAGCACCGAAAGGGAAATGGTACTGTCCACAGTGTACAGCTGCAATGAAGAGAAGAGGCAGTAGACATAAATAAATTCTTTCATCTGGAAAAAAATTGCATACTAAAGGTTTTATAAAGGACTTGGGAGGAGAGAGGCAACTCTCACCACACTTCCTTGCAACCTCTGAAGAGTAACATAGCAATCACAGAATGGTATGGTTGAAAAGGACCGTAAAGATCTTCTAGTTCCAGCCCCCAGTCATAAGATCTTGAACTACTGGTTTTGCTAAGTTGTGTTTTAATATTGTAGGTAAATTATTTACGCATCTTGATGCGTTACAGATACTATTCCAGTGAGCCTTGGCTTGTTCCGGTGGCCAACATATGCAGACATTTGTACTATCAAACCATTTTCTCTAAGCAGTGGGCATTCTACAATTACTCAATCTTCCAAAAATTCAGATAAGTCAAGATTTTAAATGTATGTTTTATATACAACAGATATATTCTGCTGCATGTACTGTACTCAAGAACTGTTACGTAACACTATGTATATTAATAGTGCAAAAAGTCAGTGCTTCTGAAAGGAAAAAAGAGACAGTGGTTTTTAAAATGCCTTTATAGCTTTGGTTCTTTATGAAACTTAATTCAGCAGGCTGAAGAAAATGGTTCTTGTATACAGCGGGCTGTTGTCCTTTAGGATACTTGAGTATGTAAAAACAAATGCTGTAGAATAAAACAAACTTGTGCCATTAGTCTTTATATGTTTCTCCAAGAAGGCGGGGGCCATAAGAAGAAAAAAAGGTGTTAAAGTGACAATAAATTTTTATACCAAATGTGTTTATTTTTTTGTGCAAGTAATCCTTTAAATTTGAATTGTATTAGGTGTAAAATAAAGAACCTCAACTCCTCAAATTAATGTTTTCTGTACATTTGTCTAAAAAAGCACTGTCGCTGAAATAGTTTCACAGATTTATTTTTTTTTCTGTGGCTTTTTAATGCATCAGCACTGAACAGAAAGATGGGTTTTATGTCTATTTTTTCCTTCTTCCTTCCTCCTCCTATTAAAAAAATATGCTTTCCCTTTGGAATAAAGATTTTACATTAGTCCTGGGTTAGGCTGAAAGACTGTGGCTGTCATGACCCATGAAGAGAAGAGGGGTAGAGAAGCAGTGTTCCATTGCATGACTATGCAAGTAGTGTCAAGGGAATAAAAACAGATAGGTCCATTAGTAATAACAGTATGTGCAGAGAATGAAACCAGGCTTCTGTCACTCCATGTTTTTTCAAAATGAAAAAACTAGGCATTTAAAGTCCATGAACTCAGGCAAAATACATGTGTAAGAAGAGGAATGTGACTATGGATGATAAATAGACTTTGGCAAAAGAATAGGATAGAAGTTGGTGAAAATACACAGCAAGGAGCAGTTAACTAAGGTTCTCTTGAAACTGGGTGTCTCGGTTTGAAAGACAGGTATGGTCTAAGGAAAGGCAAGAACCCCTTTTCTGCGATGCAGAGTGCAACCCCCCTCCCTTTTAATTATTTTAGGTCCAATTCAGACGCCTTCAGGCAGGAGATATGGGGATAAGAATAACAGTTCTTTACTGGTATCTAACAAGGCAGAAAACAACAACAGCCATAAAAATTGACAACAGAACAGTCTAGCTCCGCTCCAGTCCCTTCTGGCCGCAGGCCGTCTCCCTGTGCTGTTACCGGTGCTGTGGGGGCAGGGCAGGTCCCGCGCAGTTGAAGAGGGCTGGGTGATGGCGGCCGCGGCCCAGGGGAGAGAGGGGATGGAAAAGTGACTCCCCCCTCACGGTGTCGGTCGTGGTGCTCAGCAGAGTGTCCGGAGATAGTAGGGTGAGGTGGGAGAGCAGCAGAGCGATGTCCAACGGCAGGGAGCGTGGATCTCAGTGCTGGGATGGCAGGGGAAGATGCCAGAGCGGAGCCCAGGCTGTCTTCCCACTCCACGAGCCAAGCGAGAGAGAGTCCCCCGCTCCAGACCCCCCGTCCCCCCTTTCCTTTTCCGGTTCCCCCCGCCTCGCCCTCCACCCACCCCCCTACGAGAGAACATTATCTGTCGTTTTCAGGTGTAGCCACAATTACTTAGCATAACAATGGGAGGAATTCCACAGAAAGAAAAGGGGAGCAATCCAACACCCAACACTGGGAACTCAACCCGCTGTGTATATATTTCTGTGGAAATCTCAGTCTAAAAAAACCACTTGAAGACTACACTATCTGGTTTTAACTGAGGCTGTTGAGACAGTGGAGATAACAAAGTGTTTGTTCTGTGGGAAACTGGTGCCATGCTATAAACTGAAATTAAATAAACAATCAGTAATCTAGATTCTCCTTACACTGAATGTCTGTCCCAAGGGCTGTGAACCAAGTCCCTTGAGAATTAAGACTATTTACAGCAAAAGCTCTCATTCTGCTGTACCCATACCTAAGATGGTACCAAAACTACAAATCCAAAATAAAATTCCAATTTTTAGAGTGAATATTGGATCGTTGTTTCATTGGGGAATATAAATTATTTTTTCATTGAGAAATTAGAGCACTCACAAGAGGAAAAAGCTTGTCCTTATTAGTAAATTAGTACTTAGTATCAAGAAAACAGAAATGGACAAATGTGAAAATATGGGGAAAAATGCAATACCTAAGTCAAAGATGTAGAACAATCAAACCTGTACATACTTTTGTTTTCTAAATTGGAAGCCTGTAAGAGAAGCTTACAGGTCAGGAGATGATTAGACTGTAAAAGCACTGAGCAGTGAGAGTAGTTGCATATTGAGAGAGTTCATGGTCAATAGAGTTGCTGGGCACTTCCCTGAGTAGACAAGTACAGGTGCAAAGTCTCTCATTAAAGCTTTTTTAAAAACTGATGCACCGGTTGAAGAGTGGGCATCCCTTGACTGGCACATCCACACTGGTATTTGCAAAATAGAATAATAAAGAGTAAAGGAATAAATTAGCAATATCCCCAACATACACTGCTAAAGAAGAGCAAGACTCTGCTGCTCAAGTTACAGAGGAGATCAGTCAAAGAGGCCTAAATAGTAACATAATGTTTGCACATATTTTGTTTTCTCAAAAAAATACCCAAAATGGAAAGTGCTAAAAGCATCAGATCAATCTTATGACATACTGTCTGATAAAGTGGAAAATGTATTTCAACATTTTGCTAAAATAATGTAAATACAAAATAATATATAAAATAATACTTAGATCTCACTTTACCTGCAGCTTAGTCCTCTGAAGTAACTATTACTAGGTAGGAAAGTGATTTTGAAGTTATCTAGTAATTTTATGGAAACCTCAGCTCACTGTTCAGCAGCAGGTCACATACGTGCTGAAAATAACTCAGTGGGAGATAAAAAATAAAACAGAAAACAGTTTTACACTGTGTAAATTGATGGTGCAGTTAGGTCAATGTAGTGTAAAATTCTGCTTTGTTACAAAAAGACAGCAAAGCTAAGAAAAGGCTCAGACTGGAGGGTGAAAGCTGTACAATGACAACACAGCTGAGAAGCAGATGAATTGTCTGGGACTTCTGGATGGGAAAGAGGCAGCTCCATGAGGATATACTAGGGATCTGTAAATTCAGAAGTGATGTAGAAAAGGTGTGTGTTTTGAAGTTTCAGCCAATGACAGGAAAAATGAAAGATGATTCTCAAAAACAGAAGAGATTAAAATGCAACTTTAAGGTGTTTTGGTTAGTATCTGCATTAATGTTCAAGATTTTCCAGTGCTGAAGTACTTTTCACTTTGAAAGTGCTTTCCAAACACTCATCCACAGTTATTTACTTAAAGACTTCTGTTAAGAGGGTGAAAGGAATGTACTTAAAATGTCTCTCTCTGGAGGCTGACAAGCCTTATAATATAAAAGATTAAAAGCTTTCCTCTTTCCTATTGTTTGAATCTTAAGGAGTCATATTTAAACTCATGAAGGAAAGACATCAAAACATATTGTTCCTAATTTCATCATCACATCATAAAATTGTAACCTGATTTCCTATTTAGCAAATGATAGTGTGATTTTAAATCAACCCCAAAAATTGTGTGTAATTCTTTCTCCAAAGACTCTTTTAAAACAAACAAATTAATTATCTGCATTATATACATTTTACTAATTTTCAGTGTTGGCACTACCTGGTTTTACATTATTTTCAAAGGAAAGAGTCTCTTAAACATGCTTTAGTTTTAAAAGTTCAGCAAAACATAGTTATACAGAAATAGTGATTAAATTAAAATAATGTATTAGAAGGTTATTCGGCTACTTTGTACTGTATTTCAGAGCAATTCTGATTTGGTTATATTTTGGTTATATTTTAATTTTTTTCAAAATCAAATCCTAAGTGCATCTACATCTACCTCTAGTCATAGAACATAACTCCATAATTAAAAAATATAACAAAACAACCCACAAAAGAAACAGGTTCAACAAACCAGGCTCTCTTCTAATGAGACAAACAAAAATGCTTTTTTTCACTTTTCACCCCCTCTAGACAATTCAAATTATGTGTGAAATATTGAAAAATGACAGTAAAACATTTTAGATCTCTCAGACCTGAGAAATATCTTCCTTAAACCTTGGTTTTTCAACAGACCTTTGCCTGGAATGCTAGCTGCATGCATAACCTGTTTAATCAGAGTGGTCAAGATCACCCACTGACAGTGTGATGTTCAGCCTTCTCCCAGCTGTACCTCAACGGTTCTGCATGATGTCCCTCTCCAGTTTCAGCTTTCAAGCCCATCAGGTGAGTTTTGAGCAAGCTGTGCAGCCCATAAGGCCAGAACTGAAAGGCAGTGTAGTTACTCTGCATGGGGCAGGACACAAAGAAATCATCAGACCTCGTGCCAGCTGCAATGCAGATGTTCTGTGTGGCTTCCTTCACTCCGTTTATTCATGTCACCTGGCTTTGTAAGATGTAAAAACGGTTAAATCTAATTTTCATCTTAACTTTCAGAAATATCATGTTGAGTAGGTTGTCAAAAGTCAGTGCTTGAAAGATGTAATGTACTTAAAATTATTTCTAAAGTAACTTCCGTGCCATAGTGGTTGCTGTTATCTTGTCCTTCAGCAATCATACTGTAGCAGCTGGACTTGTAAGAGAAGCTGTACTGTTATCATCAGATCGAGAAGTTAAGAAATATACTGTTATCTTTTCCTGCCTATCCATAAGAACAACAAAATAGCATGTCAGGCGTCTTCACATATTCTATTCACTTGTACAATAATTTCGGGTTTTTTTGAGAAAGAAAAATGGCATCAACTGAAATGGCAAGGGAGAGT